TGTGTGGTCACTGTCCTGTCCACTACAATAAGCTCCCTGTGGGGGAGTGGTATCCTGACCAGTCAATACGTTCAACTGACCACTGTCATTTTTGTGGGGTTCTGTTTTTACTGTTCTCACAGCCTGAGATGGTTTCCTTATTGCACTTTTGAAGAAGTCTAAATAAAGCTCACCGTCTTCCTGGGCGTGGCCACACATAAGTGTATCTTCCATCTCTGGAATGTGGTCTGGTAATACAGCACTGGAGATTCCAACACCACTTCTTTCAGGTGAAACTTCCTGAGAATTTAAACTGCAGAATTGAATTTCTTTGGTCAATTTGTGATTAAAAGGACCCAAAGCAGACAATATTGTGTTCTCATGCTGTCCACAATGTGACACTCTGGCTATTACACTATCAGTCTGTGACAATATGTTGTCTTCAAGATCAGTCATGTCACAGTAAGGCAGCTGGTTTACTTTGGTGCTGTTGTTCTGAACACTTAGGTCATCATCCACTATGGCTGACACACTGCCTAGTCCTAGAGGAGACAGTTCTAGCAAAGTACCATTCCTCATAGCCTCAATATCACTGACAAATGCTGCAGTGTCAGAAGAATCTTTGTCTCTACTTGTACATAAAAGACTGCTGTCTAACACAGGCAATTTATCTTGAATTTCTTCTGGTGGCTTTGCAAAAGGCCTTTCTAAATCCATAACAAAAAATGAAATACTTTCTCTGCCAGAAATGGATTTTGTCACAGATGAGCTAGAATTGTGGCAATGATTCCATTTATAAGCTTTTTGAGTTGATTCAGACCCCTGAGCATCATTTTGTGTTGTTCCAGAAATATACCCCAACCTATTGCTTTGAAATTTCTCCAAATCTGAGTAAATACTTTCTGTCATCAGTTTGTTAGAACTGCCAGTATTCTCTTCAAAACAACTGATCACAATGTCGCTCTGTCCATAACTCACTTGACCACTTGGCTGGAAGCTGGACTGACCACTGCATGAATTACTGTCAAGATGGCAATCAGATATGCCAGATACATAACTACTAGTATCGGAATTTAACACTTTCCCACCAGCATGGCCAGGTTGGCTTTGTTCATATAAATCCTGGTTATCTGTCCTGCCATCAGCACCCTGTATACTGTCATCTGGTTCTATGGCAGAAATATCTAAGACTGACTGCTCTCCAGACACACTTGTACCTTGAACATCTGTCCCTAGTTCTGTTACAGTTTTGATCTTTTTATTTGGAAATAAAGTAAATTCCACTGCCTGTTTCAAATGTTGTAGAACTGTATTGCATCCTGATTCACCCAAACAAGCTTGATTGTGTTCTGGTTCAGCTACCACAATCTGAATAGCAACCAGGCCTTTTGAAAACTCTGTATCTCTATTACACCACTGTTGCTGAGCTAAAATCTCTGACAGAGATACTGGTCTCAGACACTGGGAAAGGGATCTTTTGAGGGGGTTGATCTTGAAGCCAAAATAAAATTTCCTCCCCACCACACATCTTTTCAGGGATTCCATGATCAAGTCTTCACACTTAAGGAACGGCTGGTCATCAAGCCATGTTTTATATCTGTAATATGAAATTAAATAATTCATATTAGTCCTCAGTGTTAGTGAATCAAAATTTGTATTTCTGCTGCCATATAGTGTCTTTGCTTTGAAATGACACTTAATTACATGTGAAATTTAACTTAAACACTAAAAACCAAACTGTTTTGCAAATTTCTAACAGACAGTGTTTATTCAAAAAAAAAAAAAAAATAAATAAATAAATAAAAAGACATACTTGTGGTAGTCCTGGGCTGTTCCCCCAATAACTGCCTCTAAACACTTCCCAAACACTGTGACATCTGCCATACTGTCATCATCTGTGACACGCAGTGACAGCCTGAACCTCTGGACACTGCTGTGGTCAGTGTAGCTAGTACAACACTTACTGCACCATAACCTGAAATAACATTAAGTTTAACATTTCAGACTAAAACAAAAATTTAGAATGTGATCTAACCAGAAGCTTAACCCACTTTTTTAAATAGATTCATCACCAGTGTTTGGCACAACCATTAACCTGTTGTCCACAAAGCACTAATTTCTGGTAGAGTCAGTAAAATCAGCATTTATTGCCAATGGCCAAAAAAGGCACCTAATATTTTGTTTTTTTTTAATTTGCAGTTATAGGTGTAGAATAAAAATATGAAGCTTACTCAATTTTGATGATGTAAGCATCAACACCCTACCATTTAACATATTAGTATGTACCACATTCAGGCATTTATTTAGTCTTACTTTTGACTTTGAAAACTTGTCAACAATCTTTTATTGCACAGTGAACAGCTTGGGTAGCACAGCACGCAGTCCTTCACTGCTGTCACAGTGGCCAGGATCAGGACCCGGTCAGAGGTCATCCTATACTGTTTCTGTCACAGGATGGTATAGTATGGTGTGGTCAATGGCATTATCCTGCTGGCTGGGTTGGCAGACTTGGCCCCTGGGTGAAGAAGATGGTATATTTAAACATGGCTAAAATTTAGCTACATAATCAGCTTTTAATGATGCAACTAATAGATGATTCTTAAAAGGTTTTTATGTACAGACACAGATGTGTCTGTACATATTGCCATCACCTGCGTCTGTCTTCGCCGTCGTCGCCGTCGCCGATGCCGTCGCCGATGCCGGCGCCGTGCACTTTCAGCGTTAACACGATAAGTGGAAGAAAGTTTTACTTTTTGGCTTTATATTTACAGAGCTGATGAATATTCATAAAACCCAGGTCAAGTTCGAAAATCAGCATGATCGAGCCATTATTGTAGAAGTTATGCTGTTTTTTCACTTTTCAGCATATATACAACACTGTTAACACATTTCAAGGAAAACCGATAGGCCTGTTGTCATGAAACTCACAGGAGCAATCAATCTTACTAAAACGCAGGTCAAGTTCGAAAATCGGCACGATCGGGCCACTATTTTAGTAGTTATGCTGTTTTTTCACTTTTTAGCATATATGCAACACTGTAAACACAATATAAGAAAAACAGATAGGCCAATTGTCATTTAAACTCACAGGAGTGGTCAATCTTACTAAAATGCAGGTTGAGTTTGAAAATTAGCATAATTGGGCCATTATTTTAGAAGTTATGCTGTTTTTTCACATTTCCTTAGATTCAGTTCTTAGGCATGTTAACAGTTTCATTATTTAATTAATAAGAAATGTAAAAGTGTTTGTTTGACATTTTCTGCATCTTTACAACATTGTTAGTTGATTTCGTAAAAATGATGGTAAACTTGTTATGGTGTATTGTGTAATAAAGTGTCAAAAATGGAATTAAACTCATATCATTGCAGTTTGTCAGATTCAATTATTCAGTATGTTTAGAAACTCAGAATGGAAGAAATTGGACATTTAACACTATTCTATTAATATTTTTCCCATCTCATCAATTTTCTTAGTTGATCATATATAAATGGCAGTAAATTGTTAATTTTGTTATATGTTAAAAAATTGTTAAAAATGGA